AAAAAAAAAAATTAATATAGCGTGTGTGTTTCAGTTGTCATCATTTAATCATTTCACATACAAATCCAGTTCTCTGGAACTTGGCCAGCTCTACTGACCCCTCCCCACCTTCACATGTGGCATCAAACATGAATGCAGATTGTTGGCTGCTTCTTTCAAGGTCCCCGCAGGTCCCTGCAGGCCTTGCTCCCTCAGTGGTGACCCAGTAGGCTCCAAATGTGCAACACGGCCCTCACCTCTCTGGTCTCCTCCTTTGCCTCATGCTTCCTCACATCCTGCACGGCACGTGTCCCTTCATCACTCCTCCGTGCTGCGTCCCCCTTTCACATTTTTGCCTCTTCCTTCAACAGCCTTCCTGTGGCACTCTGGGGAAGCCCAATAAACACAGACCCGTCTCCACCATCCTGATTTCATCAAACACCTACCCTGAGCCAGTCAGCCCCTGCCCTCCCTGAACACGCAATCCTGTAGGGGAGAAACAGACAGGAACTCACCACTTGTACTCATGTGCTCCCCTAAAGGACTGGGGGCCTCACATCCACAACCTTGCCTTTATTTTGTGCCCCCAGCACCTGGCAGGGCTAGGCAAGTAAGGGTAGAGTAAATGGTAGCTTCTATTTTAAAGGTAGTTTTATGAGTTTATAATAAAAGTTATTTCTGCACATTTGTTGTAAAACATTCAAAGGTTAACAGTAGGTCATTATATCTCTATTCCATTCCCAAGTGGGAACCACTGTAAAATTTCCATTCTCTACGTAGGCAGATACTCCACATGCTATTCTGAAAATGTGCTTTTTTTTTTTTTTATTTTTCATTTTATGAGACAGTCAATACCAAATGAAATAATATACAGTCACTGCTTAGAACGCTGCCTGACACAGTTGGTGACTGTTTCTTAGCATGCCATGGACAGCTTTCTTAATCAGTATATACTAATCTCCTTGTACTATTGTCCCCAAACCAAGAATAGGAAAGTCCCTGCAGGAACTTCATCTTGGAGAAAGAAGTGGTATGTGCTTTTCCCCAAGGTAGGGGCCGTTGATCCAACAGAAACCAAGTGAAAAGGCTTACCAATGTTTGGGGGGGGGGGGTGTTTAACAAGGCACCCTGCCCCTCCCTTGCTGAGGACTCACTGGTGATATCCAACCATCTGAGGGGTAGGGACAGAGCCAGGACCAGGGCTGGGGAGACCCTCCTAGTACCTGGTCCAGGTCTAAGACTCCCGAGCGCTGCCAGGCAAGGCCTCTCCTGCCTACCCAGCCTGGCCTCCCTGGTGAGTGGGGGAGGTGCTGCTCAGGCCTGATGCTGATCTCTCTTGACAGCTGCTCCTAAGGCTGGCAGGACGGGCCGGCGGGGGAAGGGACCAGATTTAAAGGTCCAGCTGCCCCGCCCCCTGCCAGACCTGGGAGGGCAGACGCTGGTGAGCATCCTCTGAGGCATGGCTCTCATGTATACGAGAGATCAGAAACCTCTGTGCCCTGACTCCCGCTCCTGGGTATCATGAACACCACTAGCCCTCATTCCTGCTTCCCACCCCACAGGCCGCCAGGGAGACTGCCCCACCATGAGATTCCGACGCCTGACCCCTGGCTACTTCCGGGTACTACAGGTAAGTACCTCTCACCGATGGCTTCTGCCACCGGCCCCCTACTTTTCCCCAGCATTGCTGGGCTGACCCCCCAGCAGCCAGGCTGTCACGTTTCCTGCCGCCTGAGCCGCCAGGGCCCAGATGGGCAGTGAAGCGAGAGGGATCGGGGTGGAATCTCCCTGGGGCAGCAACAGCATCCATATCTCCTTCACCCAGCTGTACCTTCTCAGTTCCTTCCCACCCTCTGCCTTCCTGGAAGTCTCAACTGACCCCTCAGATGGACCCTCTGTGTACCTCCAGATGCAGATAGCTGGGGAGCTGAAAGCAGAGCCCCGGAGCCCACTGGCTGGGGTTGTGGCTACACTGCTGGCCGTCCTTGGATTGGGAGGCTCCTGCTATGCTGTCTGGAAGATGGTGGGGCAGCGGCGGCCGCCACAGGCCTGAGGATAAAGTAGGCGGCCTCTCACCTGGGTCCTGGGAAGGTGACTCAGCGGGGGCTGCAATCTCGGGAGGCCATTTCTTTTCTGAGGGCCAGTCCCTGCTCTCACTGGGGAGCAGGAGAGTATAAATCTGATCCTCCCTCTCCGTTTCACTGAGGGGGCTCCATCTGGGGGCTCCAGCTCAGATGCCAGGACCCCCGAGGGAAGGCAAGGCTCTAGGTTCCAAAGCTAGACCAAGTGGGGAATAGACACCCTAGGCCCTGTAAACAAGAGTAGCAGAAAAACCCCACAAGGCAGGAGCTGGGGGGAGTGGCCTGGAGGTTAGAGAGTCAGAGGCAAGTCTTCTCTATCCAGTTCCTTTACTGGGGGTGAGGGCACGCAGAAGAGGCCATCCACTCCCCAAACCCAGGGCCAAAAGAGGTTGGCACAGTCTCTCCCAGCCTAGCCCTTGCCTCACTGTCCATGGGCAGCTCCCCTGCCTTGCATCCTCAGGTCATGTCAGGGAGTTGTGTCCATCTCAGGGACGTCAGTGGATACTTCTGTGGGCACTGCCAGTCGCTGGGGGGTCACATAAGAGCCCATTCCCGCTGCCCTTTCGGCCTCTTCCTGACTGTAGGGCTCCACGCTCAGCTGCTTTAGCCTGGGAGAAAGAAGAGTGAGAGTTGGGAGCCGACCAGATGCAAGCCCTGTCTGCCCAGCACTCGTCCATCAATCTTCTCCTTACTCCTTCATACCTTTTCTTGTGGTCTTTGGATCGGAAGTGGGTCTTCAGGGTGGCGGAATCGATGAAGTATCTCCTGTAGGGATGGGAGGTGGGTAATAAGAGTGAGGTGATGCCTCTCAGGTACGCCTATCTCCCTGAACCTAGCTCTTCCTGACGCCCGGCAGCGGGACTGAAGGCATGGGCGGCCAGCCGACCCACGGGTCCCACGAGAAGAGACCCCGCGCGTCCCGGTCCCCGGACCTCACGCCCCAGATCAGAAACCTCTGTGCCCTGATTCCCGCTCGTGGGTATCCCGCTCCTGGGGAGGAGAAGGGTAGGCGCCTACCCTTCTCCTCCCCAGGCCAGGCCCGGCTGGGACTCACGTGCAGGCCAGACAGCGATGCAGGCCGCCCCCGGGCAGGTCGGGGTCGGGCGCAGAGGCCGGGTCTGGCCGAGACCGTGCGGGAACCTGGGGCCGCAGCTCGCGGTGAATCTCATCCAGGTCCGGCCGCCGCCGCTTCGCCTTCATCTGGCGGGCCAGGGAGCGGGCTCGGTGCGCACCCGTCCGGCGGGAGCGACCCATGGCCGGTGACAGCGGGGCCAGGAGGCCCAGAGTCGGGTCGGACGCACACGTGTGGGAGCTTCCGGATTGTTGGCTGGCGTCACGTGACGCCCGGGGGCCGAGCCGGCTCCTCCAGACCGCCTCAGTCTTGAGCGCCCCCAGGCGGCCGTTAACGTCAGTGACGGAGCGCCGGGCGGGGCCCAGAGCGGCGTCATCGGCGGGGGGCGAGGCTATTGCGGCGGAGCGCTGGGTGGTGCGTGCCCCCGGGGGATTCCGGCCACTGCCCTCCCGTCCTACCTGGCCCAGCCTGTGTCTGCGCCATCCCCGGGCACCATCACCCCTTGCTTGTTCCCTGATCTTAGACTCCGCTGTTAGTGGGGAGAGGGAAAATGCTTTGAGCATCTCTGGGAGGCACTGAAAAATGTCTGTCATGTGAATAAATGGATTAATGAGTAAGAGTAAGTTTGCGATCCCGGCCCCCACAAGGATTCGTGAGATACCTCCAGTTCCTGACAAAGCCCTCCCCACTTATCACCGTTTCCCACTTAATTCCCTTGGATCTCCAGGCTTCATCCACCCCCAGTCAAATCCGTGAGCAAGGAGTGTTCCTCCCCAGGGAGCACAGTACTCAGGCGTCCCCTCAGACTGAACGGGGGGGTCAGCTCCTCTCACAAGAAGAGAAAGTGCTCATAGAAGGACCTCTCATCTTTGCCCCCTTTCTCTGAGCCCTGGACTCCCAGGCATGGGCTGGCAGCAAAGGCAGAGATACAGCCTAGGGTTTGTGTGCTCAGAGTGGGGAGAGGGCCAGACAGCTTTTCCCCATTCCTCAGATCCGGGTGCCTTCCTGGCTGACCAGAGGAGCTCAGCAATAATTCAGGGACTCCAGCTCTTTGGAACCTGTTGCCAGGAAACAGGGAGACGTGCACGTGCATCCCTGGGGAAAGGAATCAATTTCCAGCCCAGACAAAGTAGTGAAATGTAAGCCCAGGGTGCCAGCTGGGGGCCTTGGGACCTCCTCAATCCAGTTCACAGCTGAGTGGGGATATAGGGTGGGCCCTGCTGAGGGCACAACGGGTGTGGCTATAGCCACAGGGGCACCAGTGTGGGTCTTGGGCCCAAGGACTTTATGAATGGACTTTTGTGAATAAAGACAGATTTTTCTGGAGCCATTCCAAGGGATCTGATTCAAGTACCCGTAGGGCCAGGAAGGAGGCCTCCATAGAGATGTCTTCATTATTCTTGGCCAATATGGGTCAAGACAAGGGGCTGAGGCCACAGAAGCCAGCTCTGTCCTGTCCCCACCCCAGACTCTAGATCAGGTTCACCTGCTGGGCACTGTGCCATCTGGGAAGGCTGGTGCATCTTTAATGAAGTCACCTGATCCCTGGGACAGGCTCTCAGCCTCAACAAGTTCCTGGAGCCAGACCCACTGGGTGCCCACTGAGTCACTGCCTTCCTGAGCTTGGATGCCGGGTCTGTTTCCCCTGCAGCCATGAACCAGGCCTTCTGGAAAACCTACAAGTCCAAAGTGTTACAGACCCTAAGTGGGGAATCTGAGGAGGACCTGGCAGAGGAGGTGGGTACCATCCATGCTTGCTGGGTGGGTCGTGGCAGAGGGGCAGCAGGAGTGAAAGGTACAAGGAAGAGCAAGGAACAGCTCTGGGGGGAGGGCATATTTGTGCAGAAGCCATTGGCACACTCAGGGATGACAAATGGCATGGTGCAGAATGCCAGGGTATTTAAGAAAACTGAAGAAGAAGATTTGGGGGCCACCAGAAGAATGGTCATTGTCTCCAAAGATCTCAAGGGTTACCACACGGAAGAGATCCTTCCAGGACCACTGGGCAGTAGCCACCCGGGGTACATGGGGCTTGACAACTTTCCAGTGGGCAGGGCTCAGCAGAATACGGATGGCTCGCCTTGAGAGGAAGTGAGCCCTACGGGACTGGAAGTAGGGGCAGTGGTGCTTGACGTAGAGGGTCACTATCACAGCCTCAGGTCAGAGCCAGACTTGGACCATGTTTGTCCTGACATGAAAGATCAAAAATGCTCTGAAACTGGGAACAGTCTTACATCCAGAGGCTGTGATAAGTGGCAGTTGTGCAAACAGATGTCGCAGGGGCCGTAACTATTTCTTTCTTTTTATTTATTTATTTATTATTTTTTTTAATTTATTTTTTTAAAGATTTTATTTATTTATTTGAGAGAGAGAATGAGAGAGAGAGAGAGCACATGAGAGGGGGGAGGGTCAGAGGGAGAAGCAGACTCCCTGCTGAGCAGAGATCCCGATGTGGGACTCGATCCCGGGACTCCAGGATCATGACCTGAGCCGGAGGCAGTCGCTTAACCGACTGAGCCACCCAGGCGCCCCCGTAACTATTTCTGTAGGGCGTGTGTGTATGTGTGTGAATAAGTATCTGTCTAGACATCCTGGTGTCCCAGGATGGGCTTGTGTAGAAGTATCTACGGGTCAGGATTAGGACTGGCGTCCAGGTAGAATGCCCCATGAAGTTGTATGGGTGGGTGTGAACTGGAGATAGACAGGGCAGGTGTGAGTATTTGGGGCATAAGTCTCTTCCTGAGGGCCTCTGTGAAGGCATTGGCAGGTGTTATGTTTGTACGTGTGTGTGTACATCTCTGCCTTCGTGTGTTTTTGGGTGCGTGTGGTTATGTCTATGGGTGAGCAGGTGTGTGCTCAAGGGTTTCTGCAGGGCTCTATACACAGACTGGCGGCTTTGTGTAGAGGTCTACCTGTCTGTATTTATGGAGGGTGTGAGCGGACGAGATGGGTGCTTAGGTGTGAGGGTTTGGGGTGCCGGGGTGTGCATACCAGGCTAGCAGTGGGCGGGGGAGGTCCCATTCCTCTGGGGCCTCTCTCATGCTGGGAGGGGGTCTTGTGTCCCAGAGAGGGAAGCCAGCGTTAGCGGAATCTGAGCCGGCAGAACCTGCAGAAGAGGCTTTCCATCCCATGTCACAGTTGGCCCGCCGGGTGAGTTCTCCCTTCTTCACCCCAGCCTGGGGGAGCCTGGCAGAGGCTGCTGTGACCCCTCGCTGACTCCCAGCCCCTTCCTCCCAGGTTCAGGGGGTCGGGGTGAAAGGTTGGCTGACAATGTCGTCTCTGTTTAACAAAGAAGATGAGGACAAGCTCCTGCCACCGGAGCCCTGTGCTGACCAGTACGTGTGTGTTGGTGGGGGCTGGGATGGACCTGGGGTCCCCCTTCTCCCATGTCCTTTACTTCTGGTCTATTTGTCTATCTTTCCGACCAAGGAGGAAGGGGGAGGACCAGCCCCAGGCTGTTTCCTTTTCTCTCATCAGGAAAGAGGCCAAATCAACCTATCTGGAGTTTAAGTTAGATCTCAGCAGGACTTTAGGGCTGTTGGGATTGAGGTGCTAGAAGGTACTTTAGACTCTCTCTCTCTCCTCCCCATCCGCATGGGAGGGGTCATCTCCCTACAATCAGGAAACAGAAGAGAGAACGTTTAGGTGTTCAGAACAGAGGGTGGTCCAGATCCCAATGCTGGTCTAAAATCTCATCCTCCTAGGGAGTTTGTGCCAGACCCTCCTTCAAAGATTCTGATTCCGCAGGTGTGGGCTGAGGCCTGGGATCTATATTTGCAGCTTGCTCCTGAGGACCTGAGGCGCTCTAGTTTAGTTAGGAACCACTGACTTAGAAAGGCTTTGATGCTGGGGTTTAGCGGGTGGGACCCAGGGCAGCTCCTTTCTCCTAGCTCTATTCTAGTACACACTCCCTCTCTGCCCTTTCCTCCAGCCCAGTCACACCCCCTTTCTTTGACACTCCCCTATTCCTTTCTCCCCTGGGGTTCCCCTGACCCACCCATCTCTCCAGCCCCAGGGCTTCCTTTCTCCCTCCTGGCGCTCATCCCCTGTCCCTCCCAGAGCTCCAAGGACTCCTTCTCAGATCTGAGGCTCCCACCTCAAGACTCATCCCCCCTCCTTGACTGCCCTTCCCTCCACATTCCCTGCCACTTTCCCAGTCCTCCTCCCCACTAAGCCCTCATCTAGGCCTTTCTCATTTCCTTGGGTCGCTCCATCCTTCCTTCTCTCCAGTGTTTCCTCATTTTCCCAGTCCCCCTTTCCCTCCATCTCAGAACCTCATCCCTGCCCCCACCCTGCGTCTCCCTGGGGCTGCCACCCTGGCTTCCCGGACCCCTTCTCCCAGAGTCTGACCCCGCCCCAAGCGTCGCTGGGCCCCGCCCCCGTCCAGGCTCCTCCCACAGCTTTTCGGGCTTCTCCCACAGCTTTCGGGACTCCTCATGTCAGGCTTCCCTCCTCTGGCGGTACTCCTCTCCCCGAGTCTTTCCTAAACCCCTGACCCCGACTCTCTCCCCAGGAGTCCTGGTCTCGGCCCCTTCTTCCCAGACCCCTCACCTAATCCCCTGACCCTGGCCCACGCCAGCCCCCTTTCCCTGTGCCTCTGAGCCCTCCCCTGGCCTCCAGTCTCCCGCCCCCCCAGTCACCTGACCTCCCTCTGGCTCCTCCCCCCCACTACTAGCGCCTGCACCCCGTCTCCCCTCTTCGTCCTCTCCCCCGACCTCGGCCAGTGACACCCGTCCTTCTCCCGCAGCCCGCTGGCGGCGCGGTCCCCCTCGCAGGCGGTGACGGCGACGGAGGCAGAGCCGCGCGGGCCGGGATTCTGGGACGCGTTCGCCAGCAGGTGGCAGCAGCAGCAGCAGGCGACAGCGGCGTCCATACTGCGCGGCGCCGAACCCAACCCGGAGCCAGACCCCGAAGCCGGGGATGAGGCCGCGGAGGAGGCTGCCGAGCGCCCCGAGCCGGGGGAGGCCGACGCCGTGGCCGGCTTCAAGTGGGGCTTCCTCACCCACAAACTGGCCGAGATGAGGGTGAAGGCTGCGCCCAAGGGCGACTAGCAGGGCGGCCCAGCCGGGCACCCGCTCCTTCCTTCCCCCAACCCCATAAAGACCCTGACCCGACACCCCGTGTGACCGCGTGCCTTTGTCCGGACGGCACGGATGACTGCTTTTGGGTGGGCAACCTCAAGGCAGGATCCAGCTCAAAGCGTCCTCCCCCCACAAACGTACAGGGAGAAAATGACCAGACAGCCCTGGTGTCAGGATAGATTGTGTCCGATTTAGGGTACAGCTTTACAGGAACCTGAGAAACCCCAGAGGACAAGCCCCATCGCCCTGTTCAGCCTCTTTTACTTCGACAAACGTTGCCTGTGACTCTGCTATATGCACCGTCCCTGTACTAGGGGAAAGTCAGGAGGCCAGAGACCCGGAGAGGGAACTCAGACGACCAGCGGGTCCCACAGAAGGTGACAAGTTGAGGCACAAAAATAAGGCTGTACTTGGGAGCTCGGAGATGATGCCGACTGGGGAATTCAGGAATTTCTGAGGGGGAATGAATACATGTAATCTTAGAAGGATGAGTGGAAAGAAAGGGGAAGGTAGCCCAGGCAAAGGGAAGAGGACCGTAAGCAAAGACTTGGAGGTGTGGATGTGTGAGGCAAACAAGTGACCTTGTGTGTCTTTGAGGGAAAGGAAGACAGTGGCCCGATGTGAGGCTGCGGGTTAACAAAATACTGGTTTGAAGGGTCCCTTCCTTTACTGTCCTCAATTCTGGATTCTTCCTAATCTCAGCCCATTCATAGCTAGTAACCAAAAGGGGGCAGCAAATCTCCAGGAATGGGGGCCTTTTCGGCCGGGGAACCCCAGATTTCTGGGGTTTCTCCCCAGAACTCCCCAAACACCCTATTCCTGACTCCCAGATCTAGTTTGGACCGACCTCGGGGTCGGTGGAGGAGATGGTCATAATAGAGTCAGTACTAATTCCGTAGTGGTCTTAGTGGCTGTCGTTTATTGAACACTTTCTATATGCCGGGCACTTTGCCATGCGTTTTATGACCATTTCAAAAATACTTTGATCACCGAGGGCTGCAGCTGTGGTTCGGGGAGGTTAGGCGCTTGCCCAGGGTCACACAGTGAGCCTGGAGCCCGCGTTCCAAAACCCACGCGCGTAACCCCGCAAGCCCGCCCCGCCCCCTCCCTTAATATCTGCTCCCTAATCCAACATCACGACTCCTTTAAATAACGTTTTGGTTTTATTCAGCAGGTTCTCTAACCTCCCACCCCAGGCTTCTCTCCCCAGACCCGGCCTCCACAGGGGCCACGTAGCTGCCCCCTCCCCTCCGTCGTCGGCTCTCGGAAGGGCCTTCGGAATCCTTTTGTCCCATCCTCCCAAGGTTCACAGGGGCAAACCAAGAATCCAGAGGGAAGGGCTCGCCTAAAGGCACCCGGCGCGTCAGAGGCAGGGCGTCCCTGCCCGTGCCCGGGCCCAGCCCTGCGCCCACCCCTTAGCGCTCCCGGGCCCCGGAGCCGGGACTCCCCGGAGCCCGCAACCGAGCGGCCGCAGTCACACCTCGGACTCGCGCGGCGGGCCGCGGGCGCGCTGGCAGCCGTACAGCCACTGGATGACGCGCGCGTTGCGCTCCACCACCGACACCGGGGGGCGCCCGTCCCGCGCCGAGCCCGCGGCCTCTGAGCCGCCGCCGCCAGCACCGTCCGGGCGATCCGTGTCGCCGTCGCTGGACGTCCAGTCGCTGGTGTCCCCAGAGCCGAGCGGCGGCGACGTTCCGGGCTGGGGGCTGGCGTCGGCGCCCCAGCTCTGCGGAGAGAAGCGCTCAGCGCCCAGCACCTCCACCAGCGCGCGCTCCAGGCCGCAGTAGTTGAAGAAGCGCTCCTTCTCCGACAGGGGTAGTGAGCAGGTGGGGCACAGCGCCCGCTTTCCTGCCGCTTCCGGGGCATCTTGGGGCGCGGCCCAAACCCCAGGAGCCGCTGGTCGCTCGGTTGGGCCCGGACTGCTCGAGGTGGCGTCTCGGGGGGCGCCCAGGAAGAGGCGCCGCACCAACCCCTGGCCCTTGGCGTTCTCTTTGTTCACCGAAGCCTTGCAGTCCCGCTTCTGGCGGTAGAAGATGAGGGAGTCAGGCCTTGGCAGCCGCCGGCCGCTGCTCCGGCGGGCAGGCCTGGGCGTCCTGGGCGATGCAGGGGGCCCCAGCTCATTGCAGGGGTGCGGGGTGAGCGGTCCGGGACCCCCACGCAGAGCTGGCTCCTGGCGTCGTGCTATCACTTGGTGTGTCTTGACATACTTGGCTTTGTCGGCCTCCAGCCTCTCCGCTGCGCTGGGGGTCCGTCCCCTGGACTGGGTGGAGGGAGAGGCCAGGATCATCTCAGCGGAGCTGGGTAGGATTGTACCCCATAAGCCACTGGAAGTAAGGCAGCTAGTTGAGGAGCCAAGAGTAATTGGCCGGGGCTCCATGGTGCCTATAGGGAAAGAGGAATGGTCAAGGAGAGAGGAGATGTCCCTGCACCTCTCCTTCAGGCGTTCCCGAGAATAGGATCAGCCAGCCACCCCTCCCCCATCGAAATCAGCCTTACCATGCCTAAGGGGCAGAGAGGCTCAGACTACCCCTTCCCCCCCCCCACCGCCCTATCCCTCAAAGACATTGAGCAGGGGCGCCCTGATCACCCAGAAACATGCCCCTTGGAGGGTGCCCCAATCTGGCCACAGAGCCATGCCAAGCAAGCATCAGCAAGTGGGACACTTGGAAAAGGAAATGGGGCTGGTCCCGGCTCAGTTCCCGAAAGTGCCTCAACCGGAAAAAATACCTCTTCCCAACCCAGCAACTATGAGTCCAAGACAAGAAGGCTCCCCAGCCACAGGCTAGCTCCAGCAGGGCCCACCCTTCCCGCTCCCAAACACCCGAGGTCAGGGATATAACCACAGGGTAGGAGCCTCCAGTAATTGCAGCCAACTGCCCTGCCCAGTCCCAGCAGGGCCATGGGGGAAGAGAGAGGTGGTGACCAGGTCATGTCAGCCAGCGACCTACCACCTCTGTACTGCTGCCAAGGGAATTCCACTCCACCTCGCCCACCTCTGCATTTCCATTTACAGAAAAGGAAACTGGTAGAGAGGAAGGGGCTTGCTCAGCTCTTACTGAGAGTTAGGGGCTGGGATTGAAACCCTGGTCTCTAGCCTTGCAGTGCGGAACTAGTTCAGATGGCCTGTCTCAGGGCCGAGCAGAACTTCCCTCTCATGTTTTGCTTCTCTTCTTGCTGCTGTAATACTAAGCAATTTCCATTAGACATGGGCCTTTTGCCTCACTAAAAAGTTCCTTCCACAAATTCTTCCCAATAACCGGCCCTCCTAGAAATCTGCCCTCAGGGTCCCTGCCCTCTTCTCATCCTGAGACCCTGTGACCCTGGTCCGCCACCTCCCCTCTGCCACTGGGGAAGGGGACCAGGAGGGGTTGTATATCAAGAGCTGACAGTGCTGTTGGCTGTAACAGAATGGGCCACCCACAGGCTCAGCACACCCCATACCACCCCTGCTCCCTCCTCCCTGAATCCTCCATTCAGCTGAAAGGGACACATAAGTTCTGGGGCCTGACAGGACCTCCAGTCAGGAGGCAACAAAATAGCAGAACTTGCCAGGAATGGGGGGAGGCCCCCCCCAAGAGGCCTTGGAACAGAGACCCTGCCAAACCCCCCACCCCAGCACACACACACACACACACACACCCTTATCTGTTGTCTAGTAAGCCGGCCCATAGGTAGTTGGTGACTGCGAGCCCAGGCAGCAAGGAGAGCCTGGCATTGCCCTCACTCGTGGCTCTCAAGAACTCTCCCAGGCAATGGGTCAGATTCCAAGGTCCCAGGAGGGCACTGTGCTTGTCTGACCTTATGAGTATCCTCCCATCCCTTTCTCCTCTTCCCAGCCCTGAGCAGCAAGGCTATAAAAAGTCCTTAAACACAGGGACCAAAATAGTCTGCCATCCACTGTCTCTTCCCTGCCTCCTGGGTTGGCTCTGATGCTCGACCACAGATGTTCCACCCTAGAAGCCTGGCAGACATCCCTGTGCCCTCCGTCCCTTCGCCCACCTTCTCCCAGTCCTGTGGTTAGTGGTCTGAGCTTTGCCCGGGGCTTCCGCTCTGGACATGGGCTTGGGGGGAGGGGGGGACTTGTTCACTGGCTTGGTGGCAGCCTCCCTGCTCTTGGGTCCCTGAGGGCCTTCCCACCCAGGCCCTGGGCTGGGGATGCACTCACCTCTGTGCACTCACCGAGGCTGGATGCAGGGGTCCCTGGGCAGGACCAGACAAGGACAGGAGGGACAGCAAGGACTGGAAGTAACTTTGGTGGCAGCCAAACCTCACTCTCCACAGGAAAAGGAGAGAGAGCCTCCACCCCCCCCACCCCCCATTAACCCTCGCCTTCCTGACCCGGAGCCTGGTCTCCAGTTAACTCCTTCCTGGTCACAGTCGCAGGACTGGAGAAGACTTTTGGGCCAGGTCCACATCCTTTATTTTACAGATGGTCACACAGGCCCTGACAGGTTAAGTGATTTGCACGGACACACAGTGAGCTTGGGGTACAGCCAAGACCCAAACAAGGTCTCCTGATTCCCTAGCTTCCTCCAGAGGCCTGGGGTAGGGATATGCTATTCATGTGGGGTCAGCCCCCTCTTCTAGACCTTGGCAGAACCTCTTGGTTAAAAGACGAAGGCAGAGCAGCGTTCTAGCTGACTGTGCTTGCTTTCCTCTGTAGCAGGTTTAGGCCTGTCCTGGCTGGGGTGTGTGGAGGGTGGCAGGCCTGCTCTCCCTAGGGGTGAGGCCCGGAATCTGTAGCCTAAGGGTGGGGGCATTGGTGCTGCGGATGTGCGGGGTGAGCCTGCCCTAGCAAGTCTTGGCATGACAGTCACTTCTGAGCCCTTTGGAGGTGCCTCTGCCCAAGGTCCTCTGATGGCCAATGGGATTGGCTGGGAAGAGGGTGATGAAGGGATGGTTCTGGGGCCAAGCCAGTGTCTTTGGCCTCCTTTCTGCTTTGCCCCACTGGGGACTTCTCGAGCTGACATCTCATGTCTCAAGGGGGAGCCCTGTCCCCACAGTGCTGTGTGTCTGGTGATCTCCCCTCTCCCCAATAAACTGCAGCACCCAGAGCTCAAAAATCAACACCCTTGCCAAGGGGCCCCTGCCCCCCTCCTAGCTGGGCCACTCTCCACAAACCCCTTTCCTTCCCTTGTAGAACTGTTAATGTTTGCAAAGCACATTCACACCTGTGCTCTTCCATCTCCTTTGTCTCTCTTAAGAACTCTAGAGGGGGGCCCAGTAGGGGTGACCACCCCACTTAATGGATGAGGAAATGGGATCTTGCCAAAACCCAACTCCAAAACCACTCTTTCCGCTGCACCCTCTGCCTGTCAAGTAAGATAATGAGTCTGAAAAACGGGGAGGCCCATTTGCTGGTAAGAGATTTTTATCACCTAGTTAGGGGAAGGTTTTTTTGGGTTTTTTTGTTCATTGGTCCATGATAGTTCCATATTGTATTGTTATAGTTCCATATTGTATTGCTATGTTATGTATCTTTGCAAAATACTTTCATCTACATGATCGCAATTCATCCCTGGGACAATCTTTGGGAGTAGTGGGTTTTACTTCCCATTTAACAGCTGAGAATACTGAGGCTTAGAGATGTGAAATCCATCCAAGCTCACACAATGAGACTAACACCTAACTTATATTGGGGGATTAATATATGCTAGGCACTGTTCTGTGATTCACACATTTAATCCTCAAAACAACCCAGTGAAAGGGGTACTTTTATTCTCCTAATTTTACAGATGCAGGTTGGGGTGCAGGCCCCAAGCACTGAGATCTAGTCATGAAGGGGTTAAGTGTGGAGGCTGGGCAGGGCCCAGCTGGGATGCTGTCAATGGCAGGAAACCTGGCCTGTGAAGGAGGGGGAGGATGGGGCTGTTGTGTCTGACTGGATGCAACCCCCATCCCTTTGGTCTTAAAGGAGCATCCGGGTTGGGTGGAAGGGCAGGCAGAGTGGGGGTGGGACATGCGGGGGTGGGCTTCTCAGCTCTTTTCTAGGGACCAAGACAGATGCTGGGCTACAGAAAGAGGGGTTTCAGAGTGGACTGCAGGCGCCGCCCTGGGGCAGCCCCGGTCTGAGGAGGGTGACTAGAAATGACCCCGCCTCCTTGCAGGAGCACTCCCTCAGAGTCAGAGCGGGGAGACAGCTCCAGACCTCGGAGCGCCCAGTCAGAGAGGGGAGGCGCAGCTCTGCCCTCAGGAGTCCAAGGTGGGGGTGGTCAAGGAGCCTTGCTCTCAGGAGCTCCCAGTCTGAGGGGTGACAGTTCCCTGTCCCAGGATGCCAATGGACACAGACCCTCTACCTTACTGGCAGCGAGGCTCATGCTGGAGAGGTCAAACTGGATCAGCTTCTGGCTGGCTTCCGGGGGTGAAAGAATCCTCGGGAGGGGGGAGATCATGAGGCGGAGCTACAGCTGCGGGCCCTGCCGATCTCCCGGTTACACTTGCCAAGAACCGGATCATCTGCCTTTCTGGTCACGGATCCCTAAGGAGATCCTTAAAGTGGCTCCTTCCGGTGCTAGAGCCAGGACCTTGTGTCAGTGGGAGGCCAAGTCTGAGAGAGGTTTCCTTCCTATTTCCAGGCTCATTCCCGGATCACCTTGATGATCGATTGGAATGGGTCTGAGTCAGAACTGGCTCCTTCCGGAGGAGAGAGTGGGAAGAAGGTGTGTGGGGGGGGAGGCTGGGGGAGCAGCTCTGGTCAGTGTCGGGAATAATGAGATGGCTCAGGGAGGCCTTCAGATCCAGCCTCACACCCCAGATCCACAATGTTACCTCCCGTAGCAGCCCGCTACAGCCCCCTCACCGCAGCCACCCGCACCTCGGCCCTGCCTTTGATGCTAACCAACCCTGGTGTAACCACTCACTGGCGGTGTGGCCTGGAGTGTGAGCTCGACCTCTCTGAGTTTGCTTCGGTGTAAAATGGGAATGAGCGGCGTGAGGAAGCAGCGGCTGTGGTGCCTGAGAAAGCCTCTGGTGCCTTAAGGTGCTCATAAATGTTAGATGAATCTGCCTTTTAGCTCTCGCCCAGCACTGACACCTTCCTGACACCTCCCGCCTCAGTCTTTTCTCTAACCCCATAGTCTCAGCAGCTGTCAACAAATCATTCTGAACACTGCGGTGTGCTGTGAGGTCAGCAGCTGGGTCAGACACGGTTTCTGCTCTCAGGGAGCTCAGCCTGCTTAGGGGTTGGCGGGGGGCAGCGGCGGTGGGCAGAGGCGTGACAGAGTGATCACAACTCCAGCCAGGGCAGTGCTTCTGTCACGGAGGCCAACGAAGCAGGGGACTGGGGAGGACTTTTGTTCTGCCAGAGAAGGGGGGTGGGGGGGGGGTAGGGGGGGGGGCTTTCTGGCCTGGGTGGGATGGGAGGTGGGGGGTGGGGTATTGGGGGAGGGATGGTGAGAGCTACAGGCCTAAAGACAGCAGGAGTGTCAGGGTGTCAGTGAGGGCAAGAGGTTGGGGGGCTGTGGGGAAGGGGGGAAAAGAGTGAGACAGAGGGAGAGAGAAGGAGAGGAAGAGGGAGGGAGAGGCTCAGGGGGGCTGAGAGGGAAGATGGGGTGCAGAGAAGGGACGGTTTCTGTGAGGAGATGCGTGAGGTGGTGGGGGTCCTGAGAAAAGGCAGCTCAGAGGAGAGATGGGGCTCCGGGTGGGGTCTGCTTCAGTGAGCAGGGGGGTCTCAGGCTGGTGTCGGTGGGGCCCCGGCACCACGGGAGGGCCCCCTCTGCTGGCCATGTGTGCCCCCAAAGAGATTAGGGCAGCTATTCTGTAATTTGGGGCCTTCCGTTTAG